ACATCAGGTTCTTGTAATTTCAGTGTAATATTATCCATTGTCATTACCAATTGACTGCCAACATTCCTTTCCTCCTTTACTAATTCAATAAAGATACTAAATGTACATAAGGACATACCTGTTGACTATCAGTTCTAATTGCATCAAATATTCCACCAACAATACCTAAAGCTGTCTATAACATAACATAACAATATAAAGTCAAACACAGTGCTGCTATCTTAAATTGCTTACCCCTGCCTGGGCTTTTGTAAAGTTTTGTAAAAAAGTTGATATCAAATTCAGAAGAACAGCTGCTTCATTAACACTAATATTACTCAATGTACCATTTAATGAGTTAAGAGCACCTGCAGGATTATTCATAGCCTATGAGAAAATTGACATTTAATTACATATGTCCACAGTTTTTGGGCTAATAACAGAGGACAACAGAATTAAAAAATTAAATTTTTTGAAGCAAGGTTTTATCAAAATGCTCATAACTTTTATGTGTCATAATTTATTGTCTTACTTCATTAGATATTTTATCAAAGGATTCAGAAGCACTACAATTGATCATACCCCATGTACCATTATCTCTGCAATGTCTTGTAGCTATTAAAGGCAAACAAAGTATTCAGAATAATTATTATATATGAGATACCATTGAATATTCCTCCACATGTTCCTCTAGCAATCTCTCCAGCCTGTGTCTCAGGCCATACACCAATAGGTGTACATGACGGTTCAGGAGAACTAATAGAAGTACTGATTGGAATCAAAGTACTGGTTGAAGTAGAAATAGCTGTTGAAGTAGAAGTACTGATTATAAGAATAGAAGTACTGATTGAAGTACTAGTAGCAGAAGTACTGATTAGAATAGATGGATCAGGAGGGTCAGTAGCAGGAGTACTGGTTGAAATAAAAGGTTCAGAAGTATCAATATTAGAAATATGCACGATAGAAGTGCTTAAAGGATCAGAAGAACCAGTAGTAGGAGTAGGCACACTAAAAGTACTGGTCAGAATAGGAGACAGTGATGAAAGCAAGAGTGAAGACATGTATGGACTAGATACAGGAGAGCTTATGCTGACTTGAGTGCTAAATGGTATTGAAGACAGACTGAGCTGACTGTCAATAAATAGGGTACTGGATGAAGAACTAAAACCACTAAGAGAAGTCCTTTTAATATCAGAGCTAGGTAATAGAGTAACAGTTGGAAGAGAAAACGTAGTAGAGAAAGGAAAACTGATCATAGAAGAACTGACAGGGAGAGAAGAAGTGATAGGAAGAGAAGAACTAATAGGAAAAGGAAGAAGACTGGAACTTGCTGGTAGAGGAGAACTAGTAAGTAGAGAAGAACTAATATGAAGAGGTCTGGTAGGAAAAGGAGAACTAGAAGGGAGGCTGGAACTTGCAGGCACAGAAGAACTAGTAATGGTAAAACGGTAACTAGTGGTAGTGAGAGGAGAATTGATATTAGAGAGAGGAGTACTGAAAGAGCTAGTTATATCAGGAATAGTGGTCTCAGCAGGAATAGGAAGGTTAGATGATGTTTCATCAGGTGAACGGGTTCGGACCATTGTCCGCTTTGGTGAATGATGTGTTAAGATTAATGAGTCAGTGAAAGGTAAGAGAATATCAGGAGTAGAGCTGAAAATATCAGGAGAAGAAGAGTCAAAATCAAAAATATCAAATGATGAAGAACTAAAAATATTAGAAGAGCTAGAAAAATCAAAAATATCAAATGACAAAGAACTGAAAATATCAAAAGAACTGACAATATCAGGTATATCACTTGTGATACTAGGAAAAGAACTGGTAATGGCAATGTCAGGAGAAGAACTGAAAATGACAGAGGAACTAAAAATATCAAATGATGAAGAACTCAAAATAGCAGAAGAACTGACAATATCAGGTATATCACTTGTGATACTAGGAAATGAACTGGTAATGACAATGTCAGGGGAAGAACTGAAAATGGCAGATGAGCTAAAAATATTAAATGATGAAGAGCTGAAAATATCAAAAGAACTAGAAATATCAGGAGATAAACTAAAAGTATCATTGACAATACCAGAAGAAGAACTGACATTAAGAAAAGAGCTAGCAATACCAACAGGAGAGGAACCAAATAAACTCATCAAACTCGTTGAACTTATTACATCAGTAAACAAAGTAGTCATTTCACTTATAAAGCTGCTAGTTAGAGTATCATCAGGGGCATCAGTAGAGCTTGGTTGAGGAAATGATGAAGCTGGATTAATTGGAAGAGAGAAACTTGGACAAGTGCCATTGTCTCTTGTAAAACATACACTGATCCAACGAGGAGAAGAGCCATCCCCACCATCCATTAGAATCCAATCACTGCTAATACTACCATTGCCATTAATACTATAGTAAGAATTGTTTTGTGTTTGATTACCTTGATACTTCAGGGTTACTGTCCGTCCAAAGCTCCAAGTGTCAGTATTAGTTGTGTAATTGTATTGTGTCCATATCAACAAAATTCCTTTAACTTGATTACTGTTAGTAACACGAAAATTTAATACATGCTCTCCAGAAGAATCAGAAGAATCAGAAGAATAAATTGGTATTCTATTCAGTGATGAATTTGTTCTGTTGAAATTTGTCCAATTATTGTTACCATATGGTGCATAATAAGCTAAATGAATTATGTCATTTTGATCAGTAATCAGAGAGAGGACGACAGGATTAGGAGCAGAATTAACAGGAATGGGTTGAACACATTCATCCATTTGAATATCAAAACCAATTTGTACTCTAAGACAACCATAATAGTAAGTAGAGATAGCGAAATTATTTTACTTGTTACTATCATTTGACCCAGTTGTTGGTGCCTCATTTAATAGCACATTTACATCAGTCCCCTCAATATCATAAATTCTTGAGTGGAGTTCATTATCAATATCTGCACAATTTTGGTTTGCGTCATCATCAGAAAGTAAAATGACTCTGATAATTCTTGTATAAAAAATAGCACTGGCAGTATCAGCACATATGATTTCATTTGTAATAAAAATATGCAATAATTACATTTCATACTAATTGTCATACCTAGTTTCGCCTTCATATTGGAGTTTAACATGATGACTTGTATCAATAAAGCATCGATGTCGTCACTCGGGGGGTTTGTATTAGTGAGCCTGATAATGTACTGAACTGAACTATTATTTGTAAGTTGCAAGCTGATGATTGCCGGGCTACAATAATCTAAACATAC